CAGCAGAAGGTACAGGGGTATGAGAAAAGTAGAGAATGGACTGATAACAAAGCCGGGTCAGAACAAGGTGGGAGGAGGAAGGGTTTCATTAGGTGAAGACTTCATAATAAAGGTGGTTCTTCCATTATTTTAGAAAAGAGTGACAGTGGAGGGACAGTCACTAAGAGGCACAGAAGGGCCGGAAGTTCACCCCCTCATCCGAGAGGGCCTTGAGCCCATGGGCAGTGAAGATGCGGCATGGAACCCGTGCCATACCCTACCCTTCACGCCAGTAAACTAGCGCTCCAGGATAGCAGCCTCATATCTACCGAGCCACCTCGGCAGACAAAAAGGGCAGTCGGAAACCCGCCACAAAGTGCACCTCCTTTAGCTGCCACCTCCCAGAACCAACAGGCAGCTTCTAGAGATACACCCATTATCTGAAGGGCACCCCATTCACTTCTCGCAAATCCGGGAAGGGAGCAGGGCACTTTCAGACAATTCAGATTCCATGGCAAACCACACCACCCCCGAGGGACCCCTCGGATTGGGATGAACCCAGGCACACTAGAAACCCTAATGCCCGAGGGGAGGACCCTAAAGAGTACAAAGGGGATGGGAAACAAGGGGAGGGTGGGGAGAGGGGAGGAAAGGGGGAGGAAAAAAGGGGGGGTCATGGGGAGGGTGAGGTAGGGAAGGGAGGATTGGGGTGTAATTAGGTTGGGTCTGAGGAAGGAGACCAAAAGGTCTAATTCCTCAGACCAAGAGCCTCTTCACCACACCAAGGAGCCCCCCCTTGAAGAGGTACCAGTAATGAGTACTGTAGCTAAACCTACAATTGTCTCATCCAGTCCATGTAAGCATTGCTCTTTGAATGTTTGTGTTCGTTTTACCTTAAATGGGCAAGACGGCTACAGTGTAGTTCCTCGACTTGTAGTGCCACTTTGTCTGCACTTTCAACAATAATTATAATTTTTGTTCCTTGATCCTTTTTTTTTTTCCCCTGTTAGCAGAGAGGGAGAGTGGCTCTGACCATCCTTCATTGCCTCCTTTGTAATTGCAAGAGTAGAGATAAAATATTGTGAAACTGCCGTTAACTTAGTATGATGTACTTAAGCGGTTTGGTGCAGGAAGGTGTATTTCTGAAGCCTTGTGGAAACTCACTTTAGCCCAACAGTATCTGGATACAATCCTCTTCAAAAGGGGTGTTCCTTGATGTAAAGATCTGTACATGAGAAATTTGACATTTTTCTTTTTTGTCTTCCTCGGACCAAACCTAATTACCCTCACTCCTTCCTCTCCCTCCACATAACCTCTCCCCATCCCTCTTATTTTCCCTTATACTTCAGTTGGCCTGTAGAGATTTCCCATCTGGAATTATAGATTCCAGGTTGAGAAAATTTATCTTCCTTATTCTTTTGAGGTTCTCGGTGGTGTTTGCCTTATCTGAATCTAGGGATGATGTTTGCCTTCTGGAAGGTGGCTTGGGTGTACTCAAGGTTGCAGGTGTATCTTTGGAAGCTACCTGTCAGTTTTGTGAGGTGGTAGCCAGAGGGATTATGCCTACTGGCAGATTTCGGACCCCATTCTTTGTCTTCTGGGGTGTCTTGGTGGATATGAGGTTGCTATCCTGGTTTGTCGGTTTACTGACACGAAGTGTAGTGTTACTGATAATTAACCTCTCCTCAGTCATGCTCGCCTATTACTTCAGCCATTGCGGATCTAGATACTGCAAGCTTACCCCTTCGGCACTGACCTCATAGACTGCAGTGAGTATGTAGAGGTGCAGGATGTCATTCTGCAGCTGCCATATGGCCCACTCGCTGTCTACAACATCTACAGAAGTTCAGCTTGTCCTCGATACTTTGGAGGTGGCAGCCCTTGCCCCTGCTGAGGTTCTTGTAGTAGCAGGAGACTTCAGTGCCCACCACCCTATCCTTAACTCCATTTCTAACACCAACTAAGCTGGGAGACACCTAGTGGCAGTACTTGGGAAGATGCTCTAGGTCACATAGCACGACCTGCATAATTACCACACTTGTAGTCCTCAATTAAGATAGACAAAAACTATGAAGTTGACTTCCCTACTAGACTTGATGGCTTCTCACTGCCAGTGATCTTCCCATGATCAACTTTCCCCAAGGCTTCTCTCTTCCACCCAATTATAATACTATCACTCCAACCACTCCACCTTCCCTCATTCAGCCTTCTGCTTCCTCAGCCACATCTGCCCACACTGAACCTCTTGCAACCTCTTTGTCCACTCAGCCAACACTGAATCACTGACCACTTCCTGTTCCACTTTTGCTCTACTTTCTGCTCATAACTTCACCATGGGATAATAATGTTAATCCTCAGCTCCTACCACTCTTTCCTCTTTCTTACACTAGGTGCAAACAAAATAGCCCCCGAAAAAACTTGTACTGATTCAAAACACGAGTGAAAGCATATTGAGAAGCGCCTATGGAATTTTAGGCTAAAATGCCATAAACCCTCTTGTTCCTCTTCATCTGACACTCACAATCAGGTTCAAGCACAGGTAGGTTTGCTAGGATGGGTCCTGGCTTGGGAGTCTTCTCCATGCATCGACTTGGCAGTGGCTTCCCATAGGGGGGAGGGTCGTCACGTTCTAATTGAGGCTGTGGGTGGCAGGCAATAATTGGTAGCAATGTCCTCTGGTTCTTGACTGCAAGATACAAAAGATGTGCTACCCTGTTCTCCCAGGGTTGCCCAACAATGTTGTGGGAGGAGGTGGTCGAGTAGGAGCGTTGTGACAGGACAAGTAGGTAGTGTACGAGTGGGAGGTCAACTATGTGCTCAGTGGGGGCACCACTCCCTTCGCTGCTCAACAATATGCGCTTAGGTCGTGAACCTGAATCGTAGTTGATTAACTGGTGCACGTTGCTTGCTAGTATGTGTATACATGGGGGTAGGAGGGTTCCTGGCATGTTGCCAAATCATACAGTTGGAGAGACCTTGAACCAAACAGGACCAGCCTTGAATGCAGGGATGCCCTGGCTGCTAGGTGCCATGTTTGTTAAGACTGATGTGTACAGTGGTACGCAGCTGCATATCATAAGTGGTTCTTAGTAGCATCTGCTGCGTCACTGCGTGGAATGCAGACGTGGCTCGGGATCCAGTTGAAAATGGCGTGCCATCCTTGCTCGTCATGTGTCTGAAGAGTCAGGAGTATGTTGTCTCTTGGCTCGTTATGCTGGAGGACTTATATTGCTGACTGGAATCAACGTGAATGAGTAGGGGATGCTGGTGTTCTGGATTGCATGCTGCAATGTCTGCTGGATGACTCGGAGCTCTGCCTGCTACCCGGAGGCCTGCCCTTTGTGGAACGTCCCAGCTGCCATGTGGTCAGCCTGTGGGTCACTGCAGTCATCGGTGCAGTAGACTGCACACCCTGGACTCTTGGTGATGATGCTGGCAATGGTATGTCATTCAAGGGCAGAATGCCTTGCTGACTGGGAGGTCAGGTATATGCACCACCACGAGGCCCGATGCAGCTTTCTGCAGGCCAGTAGCATCCTTCTTCCTTGAGAAGCACCAAGGAAAGACCTCTAGTTTTTGTCCTTTGTTTTAGAAACGCAATCGTTGTCCCCCACCCAGTTGAGGAATCTTGACAACAATTTTGGCGGCAATGAAACCTATCCTGTCCTTCAGAGAGTTCAGCTAGGCATCCTGGTTGACAGTGACTACGTTGGTCAGTCTGGGCGCTCCCAACATAGGTCAAGATGTGGTGATCTACACAACTTCTAGATGCAGAATGCTGGAGGCACCTGGCGTATACCAGGGAGAGTGTTTCCAAGTCTACAAGAGCACGTAATGTATATAGAACATTTTCAGGACTTCTTGGCTGGCTTCAGCCCTAGGACCAGACATTGCAGACAGTACTGACTTTGGAGGGCGTGCTTCCTGATGTACTGTGTGCTTCAGAAGTTAAGAAGTTGGTCTATATAGACGCCCAAGTACTGGTAGCTATTTTATACTGCTGATATCAGGAGTCCAACTTTTCAGCAAGTGGGTGCCACCAAATCTCTCTGGGCCTTCAACAGTAGTTTTTTTTTTTTTCCCCCTGGTACCACCAGCACGAGGTCCAGTGAAGCTGAGCAGTGAAGTGCCACTATGGAAGGGAAGCTCCACAAACTCTGTGCCCAAGAGGGGGATATATGATCACTTTCATTCCTCCTAGAAGCTACCCCTCCACATACCCACCTCCTTTTTTTTCTTTCTTTACTTTTTAAAGAAAAAAAAAACATACATGGAGTCTAATATCCATGAAATTCCTATCCCCCGGATACCTTTCTCCTGCGGTACCCTTCCACCTCCTGCTTCCAGTATGCCATTAGCTCTCCTCTAGCAGGTAAGGAGCAGTTAAATTTCTGTTTACTGTACAGTATTTCAGTTAAATTTTCATGTATTCATTTTTACAGCTTCCCTTTGCTATATAATTTTATATACTGTTTAATGTAGTACATTATTAATATATTATCATTTGGAGTCAGGAACAGATTAATTCTATTTACATTATACTTTATGGGAAAAACTGCTTTGGTCATCGTTGATTCTGGTTGTCGAATAGACGGCCGGAACAAATTAGATTAAGAAACCGAGGTTCCACTGTACCAATTTATTGGTAAGTATACCACACTATTTTTTTTAATTTCTATATTTCATGATTGTGGTTTGAGCTGGGAGCTGGCATGTGGATGGAAGCGGTTCTTATGGCACCGAAGTACAGTGGACTCCCGCTTTACGATCAGCTCCCAATGCGACCAATTATGTAAGTGTATTTATGTAAGTGCGTTTGTACGTGTATGTTTGGGGGTCTGAAATGGACTAATCTAATTCACAATATTCCTTATGGGAACAAATTCGTTCAGTAATGGCACCTGAACATACTAATGGAATGAAATAGTATCGTAAGCCGGGGGTCCACTGTATACAGTTTTCAGGTCAGCATTTTTATGAAGGAAGATATTAAAGGCAGCAATGTAATAATCCTAAACTCCTTTCTTCATCTTGTTTTTATTATAGAACAAACAGGATCTATAAAATAAATAAGGATATCTTCCCAACCATAAAAAAAATAAAATTGAATGAATGTTGACAAGAATGCAATATGAATGCTATAATAAATAGTAGGGCAAAATGAAGAAAATGGTGATGTATTGCACATAACACAAATAATTCATCAAAGAGTTTGTCAACAAGAGAAATTTGACGAAGATATCAACTTATTTAAAGGACTTTTCCAGAGCCCTTTCTTTTACTTTTAAGGTTTGGATCAGAAAGCAAAGCAGTTCGTCGTAACACATAAATTACAGCGGAAAGTCCTCCAATATTGATTGTCCTTGATGTACCACTTTTCCAGAGGGTATGAACTTTCTTCATATTCTGAAAGACACAAATTCCTTATTTAAAAAATGTTTCTAGCTGCATAAGTACTGTGTTCCAAAATTGGTTATTCATACTTGTCAGTTTGTAACCCATTAATCACAGAACAGGTGGGACTTTAATCCTTAGCAAACAAGTCTTAAAACACCAGGCTTGTGTGTTGCCTACTAAACCATGCAACCACCTTCACAACTGTTGGCAACAATGTTGGTTTGAATAGTCAAATTACATTCTATCGAGCCACGTGATGTTGGTGAGGGGCTCTTGATTTAGGGAATTGGATCTGTGCTCCAGTTCCCCGAATTAAGCCTGAATGCCTTCCACATCCACCCCCCAGGCGCTGTATAATCCTCCGGGTTTAGCGATTCCCCCTTGATTATAATAATAATATTGAGCCACGTTTAGGATCGTTATCATTGTCATCACTGGGAGACTACACTTTCCCATCTTCACACAGGGTACACATGTCTCACTCATGGGTATCTCATGGAGAGGTGAGAATTGACAAATTCCAATTTCAGTTTGCCAGCAAGCACAAACAATTTACCTCTGACACCCTTACTTTATCTTCCCTCCTTTGACACAGACTCCCTGTTTAACTCTGTCAGAAACATTTATTACACAAGCTTTGATTATAATTCATTTAGTACTCCTCACCGCCCCTACAAACTCTATCTCCGTTATACTCTTCACCCTCGCTGGTCTCTGATCAAACATATTACACTTTTAGTATACCCTACCCTGCTATGCCCCTGAGGGAAGGTTCCTTGATGTTGGTGAGGGGCTCTTGATTTAGGCAATTGGATCTGTACTCCAGTTCCCCGAATTAAGCCTGAATGCCTTCCACATCCCTCCCCCCCAGGTGCTGTATAATCCTACGGGTTTAGAGCTTCCCCTTGATTATAATAATAATACCCTGCTATGCTGTATGACCCTTATGGGTTTAGTGCTCAGTTATGATTATAATAATACTGTACCATGCCAGCCTAACAAGATTTATCCAATTAGGTATATTTCTATGCACCACATAGAGGTTAACATGAGTTGGCAGTTTTAAGGGGACTTGAGCTAGAGCATGCCACAGTCATGCTGGTGTGAGATTAGTTTAAAAAAAAATCTGTATTGTGGTCAGTGGGGCCTATGCTAACCTCCCTATAGTGTACAGAAATATAACTACCAGTACAGTGGACCCCCGCATAACGATTACCTCCGAATGCGACCAATTATGTAAGTGTATTTATGTAAGTGCATTTGTACGTGTATGTTTGGGGGTTTGAAATGGACTAATCTACTTCACAATATTCCTTATGGGAATAAATTTGGTCAGTACTGGCACCTGAACATACTTATGGAGTGAAAAAATATCGTTAACCGGGGGTCCACTGTACTTGGATGAATCTTAAGCCAGCATGGTCCAGTAGACAATGCACCAGCCTGGTGGTGTTAAGACTAGCTTGCTCAGGGCTCAAGCTCCACGTACTCTGTGATTTGTCTGCAATTATCTTACAACCACTCTTAACCCGTAAACGCTGTATAGCCCTTGTGGCTTAGCGCTTCTTTTTGGTTATAATAATAATTAACCCGTAAACGGTCCAAGCAGATCTACGTTCACGTGTAGTGCTACAAAAGTAGATCTACGTTTTTTTTTACATTTTCAAATGTAAAAAAAAACAAAGATCTACTTTTTTTACATTCAAATGTTGAAAAAACGTATATATACGTTTGGACCATTTACGGGTTAAATATATTAATCATGTAATATCTACATTTTAAATGAAAAAGATTTTTACTTGCATTACAGTTAACTACATTATATAAAGCAGATTTAAATCAAAACAAATGAATAATTCAGAGGATATTAAGACAACTAAAGTAGTAACAAAACTATTACTAGATGTTAGGAGCAAAAAAAAAGAAAAAAACCTGATGAAATAGCACCATGGCTTTTTCTAGCCCCCCCCCCCCAAAAAAAAAAAAAAAAAAAAAAAATAAATCCACATATTTCGATACTTGTGATTAAAAGCATATAAAGTGTTACATATTACAGTTTTACTAAAACTTTCTAATGTGAAAATTGATGCACATCTCAAAGGACTGGACATGGCAGAGACATTATTCCAACATTCAAGGGTCGAAAATTCTTTGGGAAGAAAAAAAATTATTTTTCTTATGGAAATTGACTGTATGAAAATCCTTTCCTGATTCATAATGACGCCAAAAGTATGAAATTTGATGGGAAAAGCTTACAGAATTATGCTCTCGCGAAGTTAGAGATCTCGCCAAGTTAAGCCATCGGCGATTTTTCGGCCCTATTTTTGGCCAATTCCTGTGCTCTAGTCGCAAAAAATATATTTCACTAGAATTCCTTTTTTTATTGAATGAGTTCAAGATACCAACCATTTACCATTTCAATATCCAATAAAGTGGTTTAGAAATTGGCATTTTCACACAAATTTCAGAAGATGCAAGTTTCATATGGGGGTCCAGAATAATCAATGAAGGATTACTCATTCCTGGAACTAAATAAGTTCCTCTGTTCGTTAGTAGTCCAAGGCCCACTGTATATTTCTTGGCTTCCACTTGGATTTTTATTCTTACAAAAAATAGAAGATTTACTTGTTATGCAGCTACGGCATTAGTGTAGAAATGGTTAGTATAAATAATATCAGCGCACTGAGAAAGAATATTAGACTCGCCAGTTGAGTGTAATTGGACGCTTGGCGTGGGATTTAGTTTACTTTTGAACTTTGGTAAATATCGAACATTTTTTTTTGCTTTCTTTGAGCTCAATTTCAAGGTTATTTTCATTGTGGGGAAACCAGTAAAATCATCTCAATTTATGTAATATGTCTTCAATTCTATAAAATGAGACCAGGAAGCGAAAACTAAAATACAACATAAATTACCATACAAAAAAAATTACAGTGCAAAGTCTACTGTTCTAATCCAAAAACACGGTTAGTTTTTTTTTCTTCTCATTATGTACTGTGTGGCTGCAGGATTTTTTTGGTTTACTGCACACACTGAACACATAGAACCATATCTCATATGTGTAGCATACCACCTTTCTCTCGCTGATTTTGAAGGCGCTAGAATTATGTGTACTATGTACGTCGATAGCCCTGGTGCGTAAGCCGTTCTGGTACGTCAAAACCCTGAGAGGGTTTTTTAAAATATAGAGCAGTTTATAGACAAAGTGTATAAAAATATTTAAAGGATAATATACTTGGAGGAGAATAACTTACTGATGAACAAAAAACTCGGCTTCAGTTTTAGAATTGCATACTGTATATCAAATCGACTATTATGACAGCCCAGAATTTGTTCAGGGCCAAAATGGATGGCCAAAAATTATATTTATCACTATTTTATACTGCATGTCCCCTTGTTGGTTTGCACTTTGGTTATATAATAATAACTATTTGTAGAAAGCATTCGAGAGATAGATGTGAATAGTTATGGAACTTCGAACTTCAGTGGATGAAAGAAATATAAAAACAGTTAAGATAAATATTTTTTAAATTTAAATACATAGATTTATCAGAAGAGATAAAAAACCTATTACCTGACTAAGTTTGGGAGTTGCGTGGGCTGTTACAAGCTACATGAGCTTTGTTGTAGTGTTTTTTAGAATCTAGGTTCAAGTGTTGGAGGAGATTCTACGTCTTCAGGGGAAAATAGGAAGCTGTAGCTTCGAATAGATTGTTCGTTTGGGAGCGATGGGTGAGAAGGTTTTAGCTGTGTGTGGAGGGATATGGTACCAGCAGTGATAGTGGCAGCCGCTTTAAGTGGCAAGTGGTTCACAGTTCAGGAAGAAGGAAGATGTGAAGATAGGAAATCGATTCTCTGTTCTCCAAGACTAGTGTACTTCAGTGGTTAGTGAGGTTGAAAGTACCACTAATTCCCCTGCTAATCAAGGTAAGAATATTTTAATAGTAGGTGATTCTTAGGTAAGATATATGGACCGTGCATTCTGTAACAGACAGAAAGGTCAGACAGTGTGTGTCTTCCTGGAGCTGCTGTTGGTGACAGACAGCAGGTTCGATAATATTATGGCAGGTAATGGGAACGAGCCCATTATCTATCTTAGTGCTGGGGGTAATGACATTGGGAAGGGCAGGAGAGAGGAGCTGCTAGATAAGTATAGGTCAGCCATAGAAGTAGTTAGGTCTAATGGAGGGATCCCAGTCATATGTAGCATCTTGCCTAGAAAGGGAGTGGGCAATGAATGGATGTCTAGAGCAATTGGAATAAATTGCTGGCTAGACAGGTACTGCAAGGAACTTGCAATCCCATTCATTGATAAATGGGACCTATTCTTTGGCAATCGTGATATGTATGCAAGGGATGGGGTTCATCTCTCTGGGGATGGAGTGGTTGCATTAGCCAATTCAACTGAGAAGGTAACTGATGACTTGTCTAGGAATTTAAACTGATAGATTATAGAGGTATGGGTGTTTGTGGGAAATAATCAGGCTGCAGCATTAGGGTTAAAAACAGCAGTTTTTAAATGGGATACCTCAGGGATATGTTTTAAAAGACAATATTCAAAATAAAGTTGCTAGTATGGCAAATCAATTGATCAACAAACAGAGATAGTAGAGGGCAACAAGTGACAGCTCCCTTAGGTTTACATACAAATAGTGGGGAGTCTAAGAAATAAGATAGATGAGCTACGATTACTTGCAAGTGTAGGTAATATAGAAATTATTGGTATAACAGAGACCTGGTTCAACCTGAAAGATAGAGAAATGCCTTCTGAATGCAACATACAGGGTTATAAACTATTCCACACTGATAGGGTCAACAGGAAGGGTGGTGGTGTGGCGATGTATGTCAGAGAAAATTTAAATTGTCTTAGACATGATATTAGAAACATCGAACACAGAATCTGTTTGGCTACAGTTTCTCGAGGGACGTGACAAATTAATTTTGGGTGTGATTTATAGGCTCCAAACCTTGATAGGGAGGGTAGTAAGCTGTTATGGGATGAAATTCAT